AGAAAGTGAAGGAAGATGGAACAATTCAAATTTAAAATTTAAATACAAGTAAAATAAAAAAAATTATAAGATACAAGAGGAGAGAGGCGATACAAAGAGGTGAGATGACGGTGTAAGGAGGTCACACCGTCACAACGTAGACCACTTTAGGAATCATTGAGTAAGGTCATTGACCATAAAAAAGTATCTTTAAAAACAAGAGATAATAAAGTAACTACGGCAACTAATTTGTAGAAAAATCTAATTTTTTTCCACCTTTAAAACAAGCTGCATATTGTGAAGACATACTGTTATGAAGATCCAAGTTCAGTAACTTGACGTCTTTAAACTAATGATGATGATCTTTCGCAGATCGACAGAGCGTCAGCGGGGGCAATAAAGCGTAGCAAGGAAGAGAAGGAAGCCGACCAAGAGGAAGAAGACGACTTTGGCTACACTACAAGTGAGTGGAAAGATACATTATTCACCCTTGTCAGTTTCTCTTTTTATCTTATACATGTTTATTTCTACGCGTGTTTGATGCTTGTTGATAAGAAATGATATTTTCTAATACAGTTACTCGAAAAGATGTATTTTGTACAGCGGTGTAGTGCGGTACTTTTCCGTGTTATTGTGGAATTTTTTCACTTAAAAGTTTACTAGAAAGTAGTTTTTTTATGTTAGGAATAAATGAATTAATAAATAAAAATTATTACGCGATAATTTTACTACATCGATATACATTATTACAAATTGTATTTTTATATTATATTATAAAAAAATAGTGTAATGTGAGGCTGAATATGATTGAGTCTCTGCTTTTTAATATTTTTTTTTTAATTAGGAACTATTTCATACGCGTGCGTTTTTACAAATTACCGCCATTTTTGTAAAAAATAACACGATTATTTCTTTGTAGTATCGTTAATTATGAGTAATTCGTCATTTCTCCAATTTAATATTTGCCCACAGTTTTAAGTAAACTGAAAATTAAAATAAATAATCTTTTCCCGCTGAAATCTAGAAAAAAATAATTACGCTTACACACAAACGTTCATAACATTTAATACTTAGAATAATAACGCATAGAATGATAGTTACATATCAAACGAACTGTCACAAGTGAGGCAAAAATCAAATTCGTGTAGGCTAGTTTTAGTAGTAGGTTAATTTTCGGTTTTAGTGAATATTTATATAAAAATACAAGTTGAAACGCGTTACTTCCTTGTGGAATGTGATGTTAGTATCTATTTTATGTTTGTCTGACGTATTTTTACACTCATTTACCGCACATTTCTTCATTTTTAGCTAAAATTCTTGGGCTGTTCGCGGTGCAAGTTGACCTTGAGCACTGACGGCCCGCCCGCTCGTGTAGGCCCATTGGGAGCGCTTCAATTTGCCTCACTTAGCGTGAGCGGACTAGGTTTCTATGTGTTATTATTCTAAGATTTAATATTAAAGAAAATAAAAGAAAATGCGTTGTTTTCTGTGTGTTATATACTGCAAGGTAATTCCGTATACTTATAACACACAGAAAAAACTCTCTGACGCTTAAATGCCTGCTATAAGTGTCAACTCGTTTGTAATAACCTACTTCTTCTTATCGTAGTGGAAGGATTTGCTAATCGGCGTATGGTACTCGTCGACTGTTGCCCAGGGTTGCGTCTGACGTACTTCCACTGCATTCTAAAAGCCCGTTCCCACTAGTCGGCTGTCAGGCACGGATGTTAATCGGGTGTCGGCGCTTCTTGATCGGCCACAATCAAAGCTGGTGCCAATTTTTAACACTCTACGTGAGGCGACTGTGCCCGATAGCTGTCGACGAAGTTCTTGTTGTGAAGGTTGTGATGTATTATTATTTGAGAAGAAAACGAATAAAGACAGCTATGGAAAGAAAATATTGGGTGCACACAATCCGAGGGAAAAAAACGCGGGGAGCGGATTGTCGGCTCCAACATCCGATAAATCGACTCATCCGTAGAAAAAAGATTTATGTGCAAGATTACTTGTTCTCAGGACACAGTACATTTCATTCATTCTTCTTCGCTGTGGATGTCAGATCAACCGTTGTTCGATTTTGTATTTGCAAAACGAAATAAGATATATAAATTCTCAAAACCTCTTTACATAGGCCTCAGTTTAAGTAACGAAATTATTCTCGTAACGTACTTATTCTCTTTTCGCTATATAATCATATCGGACTCTTCCTGAACGTCGTCTTACTTACCTGGCAAAACACCCGACATTTCTTGTCGGCGCCGACACAAAATCGGTTTTAGACAAGTGTGAATAGTTTCATATAAAATGCTCCCCCACTGGAACATCAGATTAAAATCCGAGCGCGACAGCCGAGAAGCGGGAACGGGCTCGTACACTAACCTCACAGTACATTTATGAAAATGTTATTTATGTTAAGAAAAATATTAATTTTTTTATGAAAAATAGTGACACACAACATTATTACGAGAAATAAAAATAAACTAGCTGTTCTTGACAGTCGTAAAAGTAAATGAATTTTTAAATAAATGTATACTCAAAATTATATTCAAAATTTGACATTAACAAGGATTAAAACTGTGGTGAAATAAAAACTTTATACAGCTTCATACGTAGACGCAGATTTTTGGATGATAAAAATCCGTGGTAGTGACCCGTTTAGCTCTAGTAGGTTAGACTACCTGCTAGAGCTCTGAGATGTTTAAATTAACAATTTTAACGATAAATCTAAACTTATACGAGTAAAAGCTGTTATATCTGTCAGGATTTACGATATCGCAAAATACACAGAGAAAATATAATTAGAACATGCAATACCGGAAGGTTTTTAATTTCGGAAATGAGTTTCAATAATGGAAACCCAATTTCGGTATCAGTTGCGGAATTGGCAATTATTTTTTATTTATTTGGTTTGTAGAATACAAAGACAATTTGTACCCTAAAATCGAATAATTTGTATTATAAATAATACTTTTTTAAAGATTTTTTATGTATCTTAGTTTATACACAACTGTGCAAGGTAGTCGGCCAAAATGGGAGCCACGATTTAGTTTAGCACTAAACAATAATTGAAGACATATTAATTTTAAAAGGAACGTAAGATTTATAAAATATCGTTCAAGTCGAAAATTATGGTTTTTACTTTCGAACGTTATACTCAAGTAATAATAATTGTAGATTCATAATCTCAGTACAGAGTACTAAAAAAACCGACCTCATAAGTACGTGGCATTACGTCTATTTGCTAAGTTTTATTGAAATATCCCCTAGTTCGCCACTATATAGGACTTAATACTGGAGATAATAAAAATCGGTTCTCACTACTTAAAGTATATTGAGAGAAAAACGCCTTGAATTGGAGAAATAGCAATATCAACCATTAAAATAATTGCTCCTAAATTAAAATTTAGGCGCTATTTATAAAAATGAATCTTCATGCGTGAACAGCCACCCTTAGAGGTAGATGATTTTCTTCAAAATGAAATGGGATCACTATGGAAGTACCCCCTTTCCAACAAAAAAAAATCATGAAAATCGGTTCACAAATACCGGAGTTATAGCGTAATATACATACAAAAAAAAAACTTACAGTCGAATTGTTAGCCTCTTCCTTTTTTGAAGTCGGTTAAAAACAGAACGTTAATTACATTAAAAGTGATATAACGAACACTCATACAAAATTTGTTATTCGCAAATAGAGCACCTATCAAGAATAGCTTAATAAATTTTGTAATACCACGTACAAGAAATGTTAGTAACCTCGCCGTGCCGCTAGATGGCGTTGGGATCAAAATAGAACGCGCTATCGAAGGAAGTGTTCACTAAATTAACCATTTAAGTTTTAAAAGGCGCAGCAAGTAGCACTCCAGTACTTCCACTTGGATGAAAGCTCATAGAATCGTCGTTCCTTGTCATCGATCGCCGGCTGCCGCTTCCACCGGATGGGACGGTGAGCTGACGTCGAGGATGACCGCGATTAGTTGAATAAACGCCATGTAGTTGGATATTCGGGCGTCTTTTTTCACCCTCCATCGCTTCGTATGTCCCATTCTTGTATTTCTTGTATTTTTCTGCTTTCTCGGAAACTATTTATATAATCAAATTCACAAACACGTCCCTTTATACTCTGTAAATAAATTTAATAGCAAAAAACTGCTACATGATTGGTTGATCAACTTCGACTTCGACGATTTGACAGAATTTTTACTTACTCTGCTCCAATCATTGACTTACAAATAAATGGACGACGGGTCTAATACAAAAACCACAAAAAAAATGTCCCAAGTCAACCTATTTAAACGTAGTGACATGTAAAGGAATATGAAAAAGCGAAAACGTTGAATTTAAATTGTAATGTCATCGCAGTACTGTCTAATTTTGCTTGCTTCGCTGTCAGTCGAACAAACGAAGTTTGTAAAGAAGTTCGGATACTTTTTAGCGCGGACTCGACGTCCATGTAATTGTAAGTCAATGGCTCCAATAGAACAAGCGCGTGACTTGCAAACTATCACCGACTCATACCACATACAATAAAAACACACACACACACACACACCATTTTATTTTGCTTTTAATGTATTATATTTAACTCACAGTGTTCATCTTTTTTTTATTAAGTGCAACTGTGTGATGCGTCATATAGGGAATCCTAGTACGAACACAAAGGATCCTAAATGTTTTTTTTTTACTAAATCATGTATTATTTACCAATGCCTTTGTGTGAGCGAATAAAGCTATTATTGTTATTATTATTATTATTCAATAATATATGAAGTTTTTTCACTCTTCTTTAAAATTATTTGAAAAGAATTAACACGTTCGTCGCCGACTAGAATTTTCAAAAATGTTCAAAATATCATTGGCTTATATGACTGTTTAGTCTCAGTTGTATACGTAAGTATATAAATTTTTTCGCGATATTTCATTATTTGGCTCTAGTTTGGGATTGTATTTAGTGCCGGATATTTCAATCCGGCGCGGCCTAAACGCAATAATTATTACGGCAGAGTATGTATGTACACGTAATGTCCGATCGATGTTTACCTAAAACTGACGTGCGTCTTTCATTTGAGATTGACATTTCACATTAACCATTTTTTTACTTAGTTTGTAACTTTTAAATCCAATTTGAAATTAAATTATTTTTTTTTATTCAAAACATATAATTTTTCCTCTTAGTCTAAAAAGTGTGTGTACCATCAAAAATCCTAAAAACCAAGTGGCAACAGCAGTTCGTCAGGACCATGCCGGTCATGTTATATGGCTAAATACGTAGCGTCCGCCACCTGCGAGCATTGCAAAGTTAGGTGCGTCGTGCCGGGTATTTTAAACCCCCACGGCACCAATAGGTAGATGAGATGCTAGTCATTTTGACCCACCACGCCGTTGAACGTGTAAGCAGTGTTATTTGCTAATCGACAATATGCATGTCACGTAATTAATATTTAATTTGAATTGGGTATTAAAAAATCGCTGCTACGAACAAGCCTACAGGAAACTAAAAGATATATTTGTTTCACTAAATATCTCGTATTTCTCTTTAATATCAGCAATTTCAATGGCATTTCTAAGGATCTGGTGATATAATAATAATAATAATAATATATTGTAGTAGGAGGGATGTAGAGGGTGGTAGAAGTTTGCTCGCTGGTTCCCCTCACTACGTTCAGGACTCAAACGATGAACTTTCGTGAAGAAGACTTGATTTATGTACTTGTTTAATGTGTCCAATAAAAAGTATTCGTCCCGTTGCATGTAAGCGCGGCGCAGAGTCCGCGACAAGTCCCGGTGGATACGAATCTTACAAAAAAACACTCACTCTGAGGTGTTCTCGTACCTGTTCTTGTTAGTAATGAGGATAACCGTAGAAATGCAATCGTTGAATCGATCAATAATAACTTGACAAGTAGAAGAATAGATCAATATCGTACAAAATACTGGTCATTACATTTGGGAAAATCTTAACACCGCGATTCAGAAAATTGCGTTTTCTATGCCAATGCCATCTAGTGGTGAACATTGGAACTATTGTTACAAATGTTGCTATACTTATTGTGTTAGAATATATAATATCAATAAAAATAGTAAACTTCCTTTCATTACATACCTTGATAAAACAGTCTTGATTGAATACAATTATCAAATGAAATTATTCAAATAATACCTACATACCTTAAAATGAATCTTATTTGAATGCACGTTTAATTCTGTAACGTCAAAACTAGCCATACATATTATTCTACAAGGTGCTTTTGAAATGTTGGTCTATTTATCAAGTTTTATTGAAATCTTTTAATGGAAAGTGGATTAAATCCAATAAAGCGGATTCATCCCCTAATTTGACACCCTTAGAGGCGGGAAATTTTTTTTTTTCAAATTTGAATGAGACCACCACTAAGGTACCCCCTTCGTCGGACTAATCGCGTAACATACATACAAAATAATACAGTCAAATTAGGAGCCTCCTCCTTTTTGGAAGTCGGTTAATAAACAGCTAATATGAACTATTTGTTTTCGGTGCTATGCTATTCATCTTATGGGAAATCTTATCAGCAGTAATGAGAGCTTTGATTGAAAATAACGAAGGCAACAAGAAAAAGCCAACTTCACGTTCTGGTTGTAGAGTTGATCTTGCCCACATCTGTAGAGAATACAGGCCACCCTGTATAAAGTATCTATTGAGGTTTATGAGGCCTTAGTTCGTCTTCTTG